AATTCTGCACAAATCTGTAAATTTCTAAAATTTTGCAGATTTTTATCAAAAATTTTATAAAAATCTGCACTTTTTTTATATTTTTACAGATCTGTGCAAATTTATACCTATTTTACTTTTCAGATACATGTAGAACCTCATATATCAAACTAATAAAATCTGCTCAGCAATATAAGCCACTTTAAAAATAAAAAAAAATAAAAATTTTATTATTGTATTATTTTTATTTTGTTCTAAACAATTTTTTTTATTTTTTTTTTTTTTTTATTGTTACAACAAGGCCTTGATACTAGTTAATTTTTATTAGATTATTTGTAGGTTTATATTAGTTAGTGAGAGTATAATTAGTCATATATATAACTTTAATTATTATCTATTTAAAGGTTCTACTCAAAAGTTACCTACTAATTACTATATTTAGTAACTATTTGTAGCTACTCTATTTTAAACTCTCTAGTATTTTTATTATTTTTAATTGTTAATCTAATTTTATTTTTAAATTGTTTTAGACAATTATTAGTATAGATTACAATATATTTTTTTTCAAAACTATAATTTTTAAAATAATAGTAAACTATTAAAATAATAGCATTTACTCCTTTTTTAATATCTTTATTTGTTAAAGCTACTTTCTTGGCTTATTGAATTTTATTAATTTGTAATTACAGAGTTATCATAGTAGTAATTTTCTAAAGTTTTATAGTTAAATGATGAGTATACAACAAGCTATATATACAACTTTAGTTATTATCTAATTTAAGTAGTCTGCTATATAGATAATCAACTATCTGTTGGTTCTATACTATACTACTATACCTACAACCTATCTGTGAGTTATCTATTTAAACACTATGATCATTAACTTTTTTTTCTATTTCAAACTAATATTACTACTATATTTAACTACTTAAGCTAGTATACTTATTTGTAGATCTATTTACTGCACAACTTAGGTCCTTTTGAGATGTATATTGTCTAATATATTGTAAACATATAGAGCTCTAATTAATCTTAGAAATGATTTCTACTAGTGTAGTCATGTGTTCATTTTACAGAACAATATTTTTTAATTTATAATACAATCAAATTTGTCTGTATTCATTTTTTTTTTTACTTGATAAACATGCCATCGGTGAGATTTTTATTGGTATAGATAGTTTTGAGCAATGATTACATATATGAGAGTACAACTAGTCACACATACAACTTTAGATTGTCTAATTTAAATAGTCCGCCCGAAGGTTCTACACTAGCTGCTATATCTGAAATTTGTTTGAAAATTCTCTATTTAAACTCTCTGGCTATATGCCATTCCCATCCTACTATCATTTATTACCTAAATTTACCTAACCCTGTTCTATTTCCATTTTCAGAAGATATCAACAGAGCTGACATGAATCTACAAATTTTATGATTTGAAACCTAGGCCTATCTCAGGTACCCTTCACCAACTTCCTAATCAATAGGTACTGTAGTACCCAAATATGCTATGCTATATCCTAATCTAGCTTGTATATACTCTTGTTCGATGTTTGTACAAACCTGGTTCCTACCGTGGCTTTCTACTAAGTTAGTTATCTGTGCCTTCAGATATCATATGAAATAGATCTTCCTAAATCTGTTGCTTGGTATCACCTGCTTTGCTGCCAGATATTATACAAGACAGATCCTTCTAAATTCAGTTAGCTGCTAAGCCAAGTTGGTGTTGCTATATGACCTCATGTAACAGACTTACTCACACCTGTTTTATTGATCCTTTTGTTCTCAGAACTTACTCATATCTATTTCACTGATCTTTTTATATGCAGATTTCCTTTCTCATATCAGATGTTAACCAGTATGATCGTCAAAATTTGTACTACTTTACCTAACTTGGGATTTCTACCATGCAGGTCCTCTGCCTATAGATCTTATCAAGATTTATTTGTATAACGTTATGCTCTCCCAAATGCCCCGTCATACTTCCAATACCCTGATTGGTATTAGTACAACATGATTTACAGGGTTACAATCTCAGAAATAGGCAGAGTTTACTATAAGTTAAATACAGATGTCTAGGTAATTATTCAATTCTGTTGACAGTAGGATTTGAACCCTAGACCTCTTGCATAGCAGTCTGGCAACCTAACCATTACACTAAAATCACCAGATCTATACTTTCCACTATTAATATAGTACTATGAGTTATATCAAGTAATGTAATTAGTCGCTTGAGAATTTTTTCTAACTCTGCTACATTACATACTCGAGCATCTGGAATGTGTATTTTTTTCTTCTAATCATTTATTTTTTGCTGATGAATTTTTGTGAGTTCATGTACTCTTTTGGTTTGATCAAAATACTCTATTACTCATTCAGCTATACAGTTAAGTGTACTATCCTTTATAGACATTAATCGATTGACATCTAGCTTTCAATTTAATATAATTCATAAACTATTGCATTGCTATCAAGTCTTTCTACTTCAGATTGTTCACTGACTTCTCTGACCAAAAATTTTTCATCTATTCCTATCCAAAATTCTGGTTTCATTTTTTTTATAAGTATAACATTAGGGCTACCTCTGATGTATTTTTTACCTGCTTTTTTTAATTCGCAAATAGGCTCATATTTATCAATAATTTTAAAAGTGATCTTTGTTTGAGATTCATCTCCATATACAGAATCATTTCTAATAAATTTTACCCTTATTAAGAACTTGCTATTGTTAATTGTATTTAAAATTTCTTGGGCTCACTCTTTGGTCATCCCAGCTTTATATTTTTTGGATTCTATTTCCGCAAACCAAGTTGAGAAAGTATATTCAGCACCTTCTACTTTAAACATATCTTTTGCTATTTGAATACCCTTTTGCTATACTTCCCAATACTATTCTTTATCTGGAAATAAAACTGGCCAAGGTACTTTTTTATCTAAATCTTTTGGATCTTTTTCAGACTCATCTCTTTGGTCAATGATTTCAGAAGTTGAAGTTTCCTTCTCTCAGTCTTTTCGTTGCTTTTTTCTATATACTTGAGTAGTCAGGCCAAATTCTGCTTCAGAATTTTCTTCTATTAGTTGAGATACTTTGGTTTTCTTTTGCTATTTACTAGAAGACTTTTCTATTAAATCAAACCATTCTATATCTGTTTTTGGGACCTTTTTATTAATAATAGTTAGATTATTTTTTATCTTAGGATTCACAAGCCAGTTAGCCAAATCCTCTATAGATAAATACATTGTTTGGCCTCTTTTGGATTCTTCCTTTTCACAAATATAGACTAGAGAAGATAGAGGATTAGATGCTAGTAATTGAGGTTTAGATATATTAGGGTTAGGTGGATGAACTAGGTTAGGTATTTGGGTTTGCTTATATTTAAATTTTCTGTTAAGATGATTTGTTAAATCATGAGTCTTTTTAAAGTCATTCTTTCTATATCGAGGATATTAGAATACTATTTTTGATAGTAAGTAAATTAATTCAGTTCTTTGTATTAATAATATGAAAACTTTTGTTCAAATAATAATTAATTATCCTCTTTTGATCTTTCAATTAGCAGGAGATAGCCTGAAAAAATTTATATCTATCTCAAAAAATTTACACCTATTCTATTTTTTTATATTAGGATTACAATCAGAAAGGTATTTAAAAGCAAGAAAACAAATTAGCGAACTTAAGGTTAATAAGCTTTGGAAAGATAAGAAGACAAATTAGCAAACTTAAAGTTAACAAAAATTTAGATAGATAAGAAAACAAATTAACAATCTCAATGAGAAGAAGGCATTAGAATTCAATCCTCATATATAAAAATTTACACCATGATTATAGAGCTTCTAATCTAATTCTAAAGCCAAGTAGAGTAGCAAAAAATAATATATTTTTTATATATGATAGTGAACCCCATAAGGCCCATGAGGATGATCCAGTAGTATTCTTTTTTACATATCAAGTTTGCTTACCCTCCCTGCTGCTTCTATTGCAAGTATTAACTTTAACGACTAAATAATCTATACAAATACACAAAATATATCCTTTCAGTTTCTAGGCTACTAGTTCATAATTAATAATTACCAAAAGCTAGTGCAAAAAATAATAAAAAAAAAAATAAGTGAGGCACTACAATTACTCAAAAAAGTAACTATTACTGAAAAACAAGCAATCTATATAATTAACTCAGTAATCTTAACACATTTTAAATATAGATCACAAAATTATATTCTTAATGAGAACAGATGTAACAAAATAACTGACTAATACACAACAATTATTAAACAAAAAGCAAGCTTGCTACATAGAATTCCTAATACTACATTGCATAACTACAAACTATATACCCTAAGGAAAATATAGAATATCATCACATAATATTATATATCCTTACTTACTAAACAACTAAATAGCAAAAATAATATGAACCAATCACTCAGAATTAGAATACAACAGATTCAAAATGTCATCATATTAAATAAATCAATCTTAACTTCAAAATCTACAGTTATTCTAACACTAAAAAATAATATAACAACTGCAAAGCAGATTATACTACTATATAAGTCAGACTTTAGTCTATTAAATCTGCTAGTATAATGGCTAACTGTACAGCAAAAGAAAGATATAAGCATCAACTTGAAACTAAACGACCAACTAAATCTAGAGATATACAAACAAAAAACCAAACTAAAAAAAAAACTAAACAAGTATAAACTATGCTACATAGAACAGTTTACAGATATGAATAACCTAAAAATAATAAAATAGAACCAAATAGCACATACAATACAAAAAATTCCAAAAGGCAAACAACTAAAATGGTATAAAACAATATCAGAGATAATACTAATAGCTATTAGAAAAAACAAAAGAACTAAAATTATCTAACTGAACCCCTTCTACTCTATTGAAACTCAAGAAAAGAAAAGATACTAGATGATATACAGAACTCAAGGTACACAAATAATTGGGAAAGCTATTACTTATAAACTAAACAAGCAAATAATTACAACACACTAGAAAATACTCAAGAGTATTGAAGGGAATCAACCTCAAAAACTACAACAGTGTAAAGGATGCATGCTATTCACATCAACCTATTATAAAAAATATGCAATTAAAACCAGACTAAATCAATACAAACTGGTAATAGTAAGTAGCAACAAGAAAATATATGGCTACTTCAAATCTATTATTTAAACAAGCAACGTTTCAGAACAACAAAGCTTGAGGGTTCTCAACAACATAAGCAGCAAACCTATAAATAAAAAAAGCTACCTTTCTTACAACATAATCTACAGCATATTTACTAATATAAAAGCATAACAAAACCTAATGACAATAGCTGATGCTATCAAAAATTACAAAAATCTAAGCTTTACAGTCATAACAAGAAAGCTACAAGAGAAAACAAGAATCCGATACTACTTTATATAGAGTATAACACCAACTTCACATATATATATAGAAAGAGTAGACTCTTAGTAGCAAAAAATAATAGCAAATATAGTTGCAATTACAACAATCATAGCAGTTGCACTTACAAGTAGTATGATAATAATTCAGACTACAAACAAATATATATTAACTAACTTACAAGCTATTACTCAAAACATATTAACAGAAAACCAATTAGCAAAAAAGAAGTACTGGCAATTCTAGAACAATATTATGACTATTATAGAAAAAATACAGAAAAAAATTATTAAAGAAGAGAAGCAGATGTCTTACTAACAAGTAAGAGACTTTATCACTCGACACTTTGAGACAAGTAAAGATAAAATTAATAACTCAATTCATAATCTTCAAGGTCTTACTAGCTCAGATCTATTTGAAAAACTCAAAAATATCATGAGAAAAAACAAGAATACAGAAACCCTACTATACAAAATAACCAAAGGTCTATACGATGAAATTTGGAAACAGAGAAATATCTAAATATATCAAAATACCTAAAGACTAAAGAACAAGATAGCTACTAATCTTAACATCATACCTAAAACAAATAACTCAAGTAAAAATAACAGAAAAAGACCAGAAAGTAAACCAAAAACTTTACAAATAAGCAAAGAAATATATACAGGATGGTGTAAATATATTATTAATAATAAATATTACTAAGTCCAAATCACAGGTAAAGTAGCCTGATCTTTGAGTAAATTAGATAGCTATAGTTAGGAACATATAATAATATATAGGACCTTTGCAGTAGAAAAAGCAGATACTGCCCAAAAAATGAAAATCAAGGTTTTGTTAAATTCAGATTAATTTTGACACAGGCTACATTTTTCAATTATAAATAGAAATTGATTTGCATAATAAAAAATCAAAATATTTTAATTTTTTTTTTCTTGAAGATTTCATACATCACGAGATTACCTGATATAACTGACTAATCAAATCATGAAAATATTAATAAACCTGAATCAGTCTGAACAAAACAAACTCAATTTTCTCAAAATTATATATATTGCAGTATCCGTCCTTTCTACTGCAAAGACTCTATATTAACTGCAAATTGCTGTATTAATACTGTTATAAAATGAGTTTCAATTATTTTATTTTATTATTTTATTTATTATTTTTATTATTATTAGTATTTTTATAAATAGTTAGTTTCTTGAATGTACTTTATTTCATTATATCGCTTTTACAAATAA